TTGAATCCACCATTCTTCGCAGTCCATCTAAGCAAAACAATGTTCACTAATGTGCGTCATGGATTAATACCTGTTTTTATCATTCCACATTAGCATGGGGTCAGTCAGTTGGTCCCAGACATGTCTCGGAGGATAGAAACTCTGGCTTGCACATTAGGCTGGCCCCGCAAGTCATTGTATAGGCCAATCGCATTCAGCTTGCCACTGCGAATGTCCGAAATGGAAGTAGAATGCGAGGCACATCCCAAAAAAACGGGACTGGTGAACACCGAATGCCTTAACCTTTATCCTCATTAAAGGCAGCGTTACGATAAATTCAAGAAGGGTTTAGTGTGACGTGGTGGTGCTCAATGGTACGCCAGTAGCGAAAAAAAACAGAAAAATCCGTCAAGAAAAAAACGCAAAACGGGACCCCCTTTTTTGGCCGTTGGTTTTCACTCATGAACAGGTAACAGCGGAAAGTCGTAAACGAGTTCACCGCAACATTCGGTGTGGCACCATTGCCAAATCACGCTTCAATCGAGATGCTCCATTTGCGCCGCTGCTGGTCACGCAGCTCGTCCAAATCAACAAGTAAACTTGTGGGCGGATCGCTTTTGGGGGCGGAGCGCTTTCGAAGTCCTGCTCAGCAACCTGCACCTTTCTTGTGAAAGCGCTACAACTCGCTTCTCTGGCAGCCAAGGAGACTAATTTGCGTTGGCTGCATATGACCTTCCCCAAAAGTGCTCCCTATTATAGTTGATGCTGCCTTTCTAGCTCAAAATCAGACCCTACAACATACAGCGATGAAAAATAAAAGTCAGCTAAGCTCGCCCCACGAGGGCTGACCCATGCACGATTAGACCGTCTCTGGGCTATTTCAACGGAAAGAAGGGAGAGGATGGTATTCCAGATTTTCTGTATTTATTATTGTCAAAAGAGGATGGTATAAGGTAGAACGAAGTGTGGGAGTTCATGCTGTGCTACTGGAGAGAGAGGTCATTTTTGAATTCAACAATTTTAACAAAAAATCGCAGGAATAAGAGAGAATTAGAGTTTTCTTTCGTTGTTGCACAGTTATTATATCGGCTGACCGACGGTGAATGAGGTGGGGCTCGAACATGGCAGAGCGCCCTCCTGCAAGCTGCTGGTGGTGGTGGGGACCGGCGGGGGGGGGTCTTGATCGAGATAACCTGGAAGAGAGGAAGGGTTATGAAAATTTGAGATGCGGCACACAATGCTTGATCCTAGCTCATGCTACTTTGATAGTCTAACCGCCTGTTAAACCCCTTACTGGTTAAGCCAAACTTCGATTCCCTCCGTGAGTCGACTTTACTTTAATTGATACAGAACTATGGAACACTGCTGCGGACACCGTCCAAAGTTCATTCTGTGGGTCGAATGCAAGGAGAGTAAGCCTACAAAGTTGCATACGAGTGAAATTCGTGGCTGATATCGCGAGTTCTATTTCAGGGTCTAACAAACACGTGTGCATTAGTGAGGAACAGGTCGATGATCAGAATCAACTAAAGAATTCTCTTCAGACACACTGAGGAAGGAAGTCGACTATAAACCATCATTCGAAGTGTGGTGAGAACTTAATTGATTTACAAGGTGGAATAGGGAGGCGGTCATATGGCGCGATCCCTTTAGCGTTAGAGCCCATCCCGCTGCGGTCGGACAACTCGTCCGTAGCACTTAAAGGAATCTTCCGCGGAAAAAAGCTCCGCCTCCATTACCACAGAAAAACGATACCCCTTAGGCCCCTAGCCTCATGAGCATAGCAAAAAGAACGGAACATAAGCGTTAGTTTCGATAATACTAATCCTACACACAAGACAAAATGATCACTCTTTCCGTGGAAGATTCCTTTAAGGTATCGTTTTCTGTGGTAATGAGGGCGGAGCTTTTCCGTGGAAGATTCCTTTAAGACTTCCAGACTTCTGTGACTGATCGACTTATCAATTGAGTCTAAAAAAAATATCGCGCAGGTCCCAGTAGGATTTAAATGAGGGATAGCTCGCTGGCCTGATGCTAGGACAAGAGGAAACGGAACGAATGTTGTTTTTTCGTTCGCGCCGGTCACGAGTTATCCGGCCACATCAGGATTTGGTAATTGCGACCTGTGCGCTACAAAGTTAATGGGATTGCGCCATATGACGCACACCCGGTGGAATATTCACGATGTTTTCACACCTCATCTTAATCCAACAGTGTTGTGGATTTAATATTGATCGCGCGTGTAAAATCAATGTCTATTCCTCTTATGCAGTGCTTGAAGTGTGAATGAGATGCTGAATTTTCAGAAGAATTGTCTTTATTGCAGAGTGAAATAGTACACATGCGCCTAATCAGTTCAAGAAGATCAGAACGTTGTACATATACAAGTAAAACAAACACTGGTTTATCAGTTGTTTCAATAAAGCTGCTTAAAATTCATCACTAATCAATATTATCGATCGATGGTTTCTCATGATTTCGCTAAATAGCTCTTTTCAAGTCGCTGTGGCTCATTTCTTGTGAGATGAGTTGAAACATTAGGATAGCTCTGAATGAAAAGACTAGGAGGAGACGGTGGACGTCGCCGTGGGGACTTTATGTCCGCCGTATACGTGGACGCATTATCCATAAAGTCCATGTCTTCCAGAAAAGGAGCAAAAGCATAGCCGTCTTGCCCTTGATCGATTACCTGAAATTCTTCGCGTATGTTTCAGTTGTGGATTTGTTTTCACACTTTACCTTATCTACTCAAATGTACTTTAGAGTAGGCGATGATCTTACGCGTGTGCTGGCGCTAATTCGGCAAGTGGGGGCTTGTTGCAATAGTTCTTGTGGATAGGAGCAAATCCAGTTTAGTCCTTCAACGTTAAAAAATGCTACACAATTTCTTTGATTGTTTTTGAATTCCGTCATGGCTGTACAAAACCCCTTGTGTTAACCATAAAGCTGGTGCCAGATCCAAGTGCGTCGCAGGATTCGCGCGAATCACGGAAGTTGCAAGTGCTTCATTTGAACATTTGAAACACCATTTGAGACACCAAACATTTGAGTAAGGCCGCGTTCATAGTTCGCGACTCCGGAGATTAGGATAGTACGCGACAATGAAAAACATATGTATTGACGGGAGATTAGGATAGTAGTAGAGTAGGAGATTGCGCTGACAAGATTAGATACGTATCGATTGAAATCGCTGGAGAGTAGTACGCAATCAATGTCAGTCCTACTCTTCTTTAATCCTTCCTCTTTTTTCAGCTGTTTGAGCAGAAGTTCGTCAGTCTTCATGTTACTTGTTGGATATCCCTCCATTTGGTCTTACACATTTCGCTTTCATCCTCATTTTGGCGTGATTGTGAGCGAACAAAAATTTTGATCTCGCGAGGCTAACCATAAAAAATAGCTTTCATTAGCCAGTGCCCTGTGATTCTTGCTCCTTTGGGGCTCATCTTAGGAGATGCATTGATGGAGAACGTAACTCTCTTTGATTTACTCCCTTGAACTGCTCTTGTGATTCTTTCGGAAGCATGAAGTTTGAAGTTTTGGGCAACATGAAAAAAATATTGAATTTTTTTCAGAAATTCAATGATTTTTTGAAAACAATTCAATTCAAATTTCAGTGAAGATCTCAATATTCAAATGTTCTGTTCATATTTCATGGAAGTTCATTGTCCATTTGAAAACAATGAACTTACGAACTTACGAACACAACATTTGAATATTGAATTCTTTACTGAACATTTGAATTGAATTTTTTTCAAAAAATCATTGAATTTTTGAAAAAAAATTCAATGATTTTTTGAAAAGAATTCAATTCAAATGCCAGTGAAGAATTCAATATTCAAATGTTTTGTTCTATGTCATGGAAGTTCATTGTCTTTAAAAGGTTTTAGTTCACTGTCTTTGAAGTAAAATGAGTGAAATAAATATTTCACTTAACATTTAGTCAGCACATTCGGCACTTCCATTACCTAAGAGGGGGTCGCAACTGGACCCCCTTGAGATAAGGGGGTGACCCCCTTGAGAAAAGGGGGTCGCAAAAACCCTGAAAATGTTCGAACGTGACGGTTGACCCTGGGTGGTAGTAGAGTAGGAGACACTGACAAGATTTGCGCTGACAAGATTAGATACGTATCGATTGAAATCGCCGGAGAGTAGTAGATTGCGATATTACGATAGTAGGATAGTAGTAGAGTAGGAGATTAGGATAGTAGTAGATTAGGATAGTGCGCTGACAACATCAGCGCACCCCATGCTCCATTCGAATCTGCGCGCGCGCCGGACGTAAACTGGATTACGGTAACCCCAGTGCTGAAGTTACATTCTTGTATGACATTCCAGCACCTCATCGAAACCACACTTCTCTCTAGCCATACTGATCCTCCTTCGAGAATTAGAATAAGAATTAGTAGATAGATAAACAAATTCGTGTTCACTTAGTCTGATGGCACAATTTACGATGAAGTCATGGGCAGATCCACACTGCTAAAGCTGGCTTCCTTTTTGATTCGTCCCGCCCCTTTTTAGAAGCAACAGTCCCAGCAGGATGAGCGTGGCCGGGATCAGCTGCAATCCCCTGTGCCGATTCCGACCACACCCACTTTGACGCTCCTCGGCTCCATTAGCGGCTTTCCAAGGTGTGTTTTTTTTGGGCGTGGTCGGAATCGGCCGCGGGGATTGCAGCCGATTCCGACCACTCCCACCCTGCTGGGACTGTTGCTTCAAACGGCAAAGGGAAGCGCACCAATAGGAAGAGTGTAGGCCTGAGTGGCTCCGCCCATATGACCAGTGTGCAATATGACTTTAACATTGTGATACTGATGCTAGGGTTCTGTGCAAAGCACTTCGCCTAAATCATCTATAGAACTTGCATCCTAGTTTTCCAGGCAGCTGGTTTGAGTCCCACCTGGCCTTACTTTGCCCTTAATCCAGCATACATGTGACGACTTTCACATCGTGAACTGCGGATATCAGCTGAAAATCAAAACTTTTAGCACTACACAGAGCTTCTTCTCGAGTATTTCATTATGCTTAATACAGGATACGGCAACGTGTGTCCCAGTTCCGAGCTAGGGAAACTTTTGCTGATTGCCTACGGAATCGTCGGCATGCCGTTGGCACTCGTCACTATGGCCGACACTGGGAAATTCTTGAGCCGATTCGTTACCATATGTTTCAATGAGGTGAGCTTCGATCACGTTGACACCAAATTCCATTGTTTTGAAATCTAGCCTCGCCCACTTTTTCCTAATTCTTTCTTGCTGTGTAATCGGGGTAGAGCAGTGGTAAACGGCGCCGCTCACAAGTGAAATAGATCATTTTCTGCTCTGACCAGGTGCCCTTGATTGAGTTGATTTGTGCAGAGTGGTCGAAGGAATCCTTCCCGGAGAAATCTTGCATTCTTTCCCAACACGTATGTCAGTTGTGATCACTAGAGACAACATACAAAGTTTCACGCACAAAGATTCGGTTTCCGAAGAGAAACAAACTTACAAAAACTACACTATGGACAATCGAAGGTAAACGGCGCGGAGCCAAAGGCGGGGCATGAAAAGAAGTCTGGCTTGGGGCACCACGTATAGGGTCAACCGTCACGTTCGAACATTTTCGGGATTTTTGCGACCCCCTAGCTCTCGAGGGGGTCCAGTTGCGACCCCCTGTTTTTGTTAATAAGAGTGCTAGACATGAATCCGTTGCGCCAGAAAGCGTCTGCGTTGCGGCGTCAGCCTTGGAGCGCGGCAGGTATCACCCGGGCGCTGGAAGAACGGGACGCGGCGAAGAAAAAATTTTAGAGGGGAATAACTTTCTTGGGACGTACTTTTTTGACTTGTTGAGGTAGATTTTGACTGTGCCTGAGGTGCGCTTTCAGAAAACTACAAGGATTGCCTAACTCTCCGGAAAGTACTTCTGTTAGAAGTGGAAAACCCAAAATTCTAAGAAGGCGCACCTTCAACTTTGAAGGCCCATAAAATCTTTCGTATGCGACATTTTGGAAAGCTGTAAAAAGTTTCAGAAACTTCAAATATTTCTCTAACAAAACAGTATAAAAAGTTTAGTGATTGTCCCCTTTTCAAAAAAATCCCGTTCGAACATTTTTCGTGCAAAAGCGAGTTTTTGGGCTTTCAGCGACCATAACTCACTTCATTTTCATTTCTGTGATTCACAATTTCCTCCCTAAAAAAGTTCTACATATTGCTCTCCACAGTCTGCATTCCGATATATCACAGCACTTTGTTTGCTTGGCTAGCTCCGCAAAGCCGCTTCCACGTAAAAGCATTGTTTTTTCTATAGCACTCGACTGGTAAAAATTGGCATCTTTATAGGGTGGGGAGAATTGTATTAGGTTGATGCATAATTATTGCGGATTTTTTCGTGCGTTCTTTTCTCGAGAAGATTGGCGTTTGAGTCGCTATTTTTTCATGAGAAGATCGTTCAAGAAGTTTAAAACGCCACATCTACCGAGCGGAGCTCCTACAGACTAGCAATTCAATCAGACGTTGAAAAACTGGCAAACGAACAAATTTTAGGATGAGCTGGATGCGTTGGTGGCCAGTGTTAGAGCGTGGATCGTCTCCGAGAATCGTGACTTTTTTATCCGTGGAATCACCGAGAGAAAAGCAAATGGGAAGCATTCTTGTGGGATGGTGACCACGCTCCGGGTTATTATTTAAACATGTTTTTGTTGAATAATTTTGTCGTTTTCGCTGAATAAAATCTGTTGGAAAAAGCCGCAATAATTATGCATCAACCCAATTACTTCGCAGGAAACCGAGCTGCCATCCGGTGGGAAATTCCTAGTGACGCATTGCTCGAACTGAATGGAATCTGCGAAAAAATCCTTCTCTTGCAGAGTTTTGATTTCCCATGACTAAGAAGTAAAGAGCTCTGTTCTCATTACAAATCGAAGTGAGGAATATGATGGGCTTTTCGGCCACGGTAGACGCTCGCTCATGGTGGCTTTACGTCAGTTTTTTTTTCATTTCGGGGGCACGAAAGCTGCAAATGGTGAACGAGTTTTGTAGTTAGGTTTTGGCACTCGCCGTAACGGGGCGACGGACTATACAATCGTCGGCTAATGAGGTCACGCCGCTCACGCGGCGAGAAATCGTCGCGTGCGGCAGTTGCTGCGGCGATTTCTGTGTGGACCTTTTCTTATCCATCCATGCCCATAAGTTGGCTAGGTGACTGATAACACCAGAGTGCTGGACATCAGTAAGCCAGCAAGCGTCACTGTAAGATCCCTGCAGTGATTTAAGCCTCGCAGTACAAACTTTGTACCGTGTAAAGGTTGTCCTTTTGGATTTAATTTGACTTCTTTATTAATCAGTTTCCTGAATTTCTATCAGAGAGTGATAATCTGGTTCAATCGGAAAGAATATTGCGTATCAAGACACAGAGTAGCGGCGAGGAAGGCTCTAACATAAGCATGATATGATAAGTATGTAATAATGGCGAGCGAAAACGAAACTGCATTTTAAAGGGTAAGGTGGTTCCTATTTCATGTTTCATGACTGGGAAACATGATCTAATCTTACATTCCCCAATGTTTGAATGCTGAGTTCTTTGCAAATTCGCCGCGATATTGCTGGCTGCGGCGGCCGGCGCGGCGACCTACTTACTGCCACGATTGTATAGTCACGCACCCGCCGTAACTGGCTATAGTTTGGAGTTCGCGCTATCCTGATAAACAAGCGGCACACTCACAGACGCTTACAACCGTTGTCGTTTTGCTATGTCGGCCTGCTGCTAGAAGTAGCGTGCCAGAGCCTTTTCAGTTCACTTTGGGGATTGAAGATCCACGGTGTGGTTGCTTCACTGGTTTGCATGCTCGATTTCGTTGGTAAGGAGACGTTGTATCCTATCGAACTGTGCACAGAAAAGAAAAAGGAAACAGAGAGATTTGGATAGAAATACGGTTCGACTGCGCGCACCTGAGATCAGAAAAAAATTTTACCCATCATATGTATATGTAAGTCCCCATCTCAACCTCGGGGAGGACAAAGCGCTGAGAGGATTGCGCGCGCGACAGTGCACTAGGACGTAAGCAAACCAGCCCTTTTGGCGCTTCGGCTGGGACCGTATGCTGAATGTTGGGGAGGGGATGGAGTCCCCGACGGTGGACGGACCACTTCAACTCGGTCCTTAGAACCGCCACAATTTGGTGCTTACCTCAGAACTAAGCCTTAAAGAGAGGACGGGTCCGTCCCCTCTCCAAGGCTTAGTCCTGGGGTGAGCAAACCAGCCCTTCTGGCGGAGCTGCTGGACCAGCTGCACCACTTGCGTCAGTACTCTCCTATCGTACCAACCGAGTTGAAGTAAACCGTCGACCGTTGGGGACCCCATCCCCTCCCCAACATTCAGCATACGGTCCCAGCCGAAACGCCAAAAGGGCTGGTTTGCTTACCTCTGCAGCTTACGGACTATGAAAAGTTGGTCTGGCTTGCAAGCGCTGAGTAGTATCTCGGCGCTATTGATTGATGTGTTTGCGCGATCTGCTTGACGCTAACCTCCTCGATAAGATTTTTCAGACGCGACTTCAACGACCAACAGCAGTGAGCAAAACTACCAAGATGAATGAATTTGGCATTTGATAGAAACTGGTTGGGCATGAGTTCGCGGAACCGAGAAAGAGCCAGCTCATCGGCGGAATCTGACAGAATTTCTGGAAGCGAACCGTAAGTGTTTGCAATTTTGGGCAAAAAGGGTTTCGGGGCAGCTGATACAAGATGAATGATGCTTTTCAGAAATTTCGTGCTGTATTTGTTCACCTCGGATTGGTGGTCACCTGCGTCGCCTACATCGTACTTGGAGCGTATCTCTTCCAAACGATTGAACGACCAATTGAACTTGACCAAAAAGGACTTGAAGTTCTTGGCAACATTTGCCAAACTGCACAGCTGTTAGTTATGCAGCCAGCTCATCAAGCTATGGTAAATATACCATCGAAAGCTGGATAAAGGTGAAATGTGCCTCAGTAGTGGGTTTAACACAATGCCCGGAAAGCGAGATGTGCGAGTTCGATTGCCAGCTGTAACAAATTGCTTTGACCATAGCCCAGTATCCTTGGGTAATTATACGACTATCAAAGTAAATTCTACGCTGGGGTGCATTAATATGGTTCCAAGACCCGTTCTGGCTTAATGCGACAAGCTCGGCTCAGCTTGAGTTCTTGGCAGCAGGTCAATGCCATCGAATCTCATAGAATTCGAACAGAAACAGAATGCGCGGCGGATTCCAAAAAGGAACTGGTCAACGCCCGATCTATGTCCTGATCCCAAATGACGAAAAACTAAGCTCGTGAATCAGGATTCTTTCAATAAACAACATATTTAGGAGTTCTTCTCCAACATCAGCGAACGAGGCGACAACGTCGAGCAGACCGTCGATGCCTACATTGAGAATATGCTGTTACTTTTCGAGAATCCACATTATGCTCACGTATTCGAGACACATTTCACCAATCAAACGCTGGACAAGGATATTTGGACATTTCCAGCATCTGTATTATTCACGACCACCACTATTATACCTGTCGGTTACGTTTAGATCTGATTCTGCGCGAATTATAGCGTTCACAGTTTCCTTTTAAGCTTCGTTTGAAGGCAGTGATCACGATGCCTGGAGAGCGGTGCAAATTCGATGGCGTCATTGAACATCATTGGTAGGAGGCTGTCCCAACCGCGCATTCAGCTCGCTGAGAGGTCTAGCGATCCATGATATCACTGAAAGAATGAACTTCAGCCTCTAGTTTAAGGCTATCGTAACCCCGTTCGCGCGTTCGCTATGAATGCATGCTCATCTTACGGCCTACCTCTGGACACTGATGACGCCTCAAAAACATCTGCAGTGGCAATCTTCTCCACTAATTCGCCAACGTTTGGAACAGGTCACTGTCTTCACGAGTTATAACGTGAACTGATCCTCTGTCCATGGGTATTAACGTGGTTTATAACAACCAGATTAGTCCCCCGTCAACCGCCGGGACCTTCCTTTCCTGCGCAAGCTTTCTATCCTCCGCTATGGTCCCTTCCTCCTGTGACACCAACACCTCCTGGAAGTGACGCGTATGCAACACAATGGTGTTTCATACAGTAGAAGGGACACAATCATGATATGACGGTAGATTTTTCGCTTCCCTTCCTCATCCTCCCTTCCTCTCTCCACTGCCCTCCAGCTGCCACTGCAGCACCATGTGGAATGAACGGAAGTGTGCTAAGCAGGTGTTTATATAGCCCTAAGAGTGTTATCACAACTATCCTGCTACAAAACATTGATATCTCAAATCCTGTAAGCTACCCGATTTGTTAGCGGTTTGTTTATCCCATGAGCTTCCTTCTCACTCACTTCATTTTGCGGACGGACACACAGACATACATACATACATACACACACATACAGACATATTAGGTTGTCTCATAAACAGTGTCGCTTTTTTTCATCCAAAAAATTTTCATCTAAACCTCCATGCTTTTTACATCGTGTTGTGTACCATTCGAAAGAGAATTGTCTGCTCTACAAAATGCTATGTCCCTTCCACATTTCTTCCAGGGTTTTCAAATTTTGGGCCTGTGAAATGGGAGGTCCGGCCGACAAAAATGGCCAAACCGACAACTATCTCTAACTTTATCTTCCTTGGGAGAAATCAATCAATGATGTACCTTCTACTTATGCATGACCTCTTCTAAACATTACACTACTAGGTTTTCCTACAAATCGCGTCGTTCATTTCCAGAGCTGGTTTTTCAACCAGAACTCGACGGTCGAGCACCATTACCTGTGATCTAGGTCGAAATTTTTTTATGGCCGAGACGTTGAAGAACTGGTTGAATTTGAAGAACAAGTCATGACTAAGTTAGGAATGTACGACTGGTTGATTTTCTCATTTTCTAAGGGATAATTTTTTTCAAAGAAATGTGGTCACTTTCGCGGTAAAGCACCTTATACCGAAACATCTAAAATTCGAACTAATTCCCAACAAACAGAGAAACAAAACAAATGAGCGAGTAGAGCAGAAGAAGTGCTCGTAAAAGGAACACCACTCGATATGAAACAATGACGTTTACGAGGAACAATTTTAATTTGAAAATTGCTATGGCTTATCCGTCAGCCAATTCGAAAAGAAAAACGGCAAAGCTTTTTCGGCAACCTAAGAGTGGAATGTTTAGAAGAGGTCATGGGTAAGTATAGGGTATATCACTGGTTGATTTCTCCCCAGGGAAAATAAAGTTACAGCCAGTTGTCGGTTTGGTCAATTTTTGCCGGCGAGACCTCCCATTTTGCTGGCCTGAAATTCGAAAACTCTGAAATAGCGGTGGAAGCGGAACACAGCATTTTGTAGAGCAGACAATTCTCTTTCGAATGATATATAAAACGATGTAAAAGTTTCATGATTTAGATGAAAATTTTTTGGTTGAAAAAAAACGACATCACTTATGAGACAACCTAATACAAAACGACCAGAAAGTGCGCCGCTTATAAAATAAAGGATTGTATAATATAACTTGTCATGTAATCATGTCACATTCAGTGAGGAAGATGGATGAAACTCATCAAGCGACAATGAAATTATTCAATCTTTTGATTTATTAACAGTGACCCATTACTAAGAAAACAGCGAGTGTTTGAGGTGACGACAATATAGCGCGACTCGCGAGCAATTTATGGATGAAATGCAGTTCGTTCGCTTTCGTGATGGCACTGCAGCATGATGCGTATTTCATCCAGGGGTCGTGAACATTTGCCAGCATTGAACACCTCCATGATACGTACCCTATTGTGATTCTCATACCCTTGCACAATTGGGGGGCACATCTGCCGAATATTTTTGGCAGGCAAATAGAAACATTATGCGTAGCATGTCTTAGAGGTACTCAAAAATAGGAGATAGGACCTGGAAATGACACTGCTCTTTGTCATACTCCGCACAAATCCAGGGCAGTCGGCGCTGAGGCGATGCCATTGCGACATTGACGTAACATTATAGAAGCAAAAGGACATGGATGTAATATTATAGAAGACAAAGGATCTCCAGCATGCAGTCTATCTTATTGATCTGCTTAGCCCTCGTGCTCTGGCATAACTAGCATAGTATATTAAATTTACAACCGACACTAGCAACTTGTAGATCGCTGGTTATATACTACGTATGGAACTGAAAGCTAATCTGAATGATCAACTATCCGATTGTGAACTCGTGCGAATCGCATCTGTTACGCAACCTTCTGACAAGCTCCGTTCCCGTGCTCTCAGATTGTACAATAATTTGTGCGAGAGAGTTCCGTAAAAGCCTTCCTAATCCTACGACACCATCAACGCTCTACAGGTTTTATGCGTACTGCCTCTTGCTTGTCTCAGCAGCAAAAACAGCTCTTTCCAAGTCGGTCCGTATCTTTTTAGTGAAACATCCTCTTTATTCGACTGGTGCGTCATTGATCTTCTGTGACCGGTCTTGACCTCTAACGTGGTGCGGTGCTAAATATTTACATCCAAAAACATAGGGAGAATTCCTGTCCGAATAACAAGGAATGAAGGCCAGCTAATAATTCAGGCTCGTTTTTGCCCTTCTGACATCACTAAAATGTTGAGCGGACCTCTTAGCCACCGCGTTGTCTCCACTTGCCGAATTGTTTTAACCGGTCGGCTTTTCGAGTTGCTTGGTATAAGAGAGGGACAATAAGGGAAACAGCAGTTCATTGCGATCGCAACCGCTGCCGTTCCCGCAGGAAATGGAAGGAAAAACCTGAAGGCAGGCGCAACTGAGCTGAAACCTGGGGTAAAATTTCCGGCGCAGAGCCATATTACAATTTTCAATATTTCCGAGTACTTGCAAAGTCTAATTACTTACTTTGTTCAGTTTCAAAAAGGTGTGTGGAAAGTGGGTAACTACACACTCTTCAAATTTTTGGGGAGGACTAACTGGGGTGGGGACACATCATTGAGTGTTGTGGTGCCTCTTCAGTTACTCCTATGTTTAGCAAACCTTTCTCCTTTCGGGGACAGACCAACGGCCAACTAACCCACAAATGAGCAAATACTCAAACGATTGGACCTTGCGATTGTCTGAACAATTCGCACTCGAACGTTCCATGGCTAGCAATAGGGGCAGAGCTATCAATATGGAACGCATCTCAAAAGAATCTGTCGGTGCTGGCCACAGAAAAGTCGAGACTTTTACAGAATTCTAGGTAGGAAATGTGGTGGGACTAACAGGTGTCAATTACCACGGGGTTGAATCTCAGATCGGGTCTCTTCCCCACCCGCCAACCAAGCCTTCAGTCTTTCCAGAGTCGCTTAGACGGTAGCGTTTCGTTTGAAGGGGTAAAAACAGTGAATTGTCAATCGGCTACCATACTTATCATGCCGTAACCTTTCATCGCTCTGGGGCTTGTTGGTTGGTACCAAGACTTTGGTGCTATCTGGCACCGGGATGGTAAAAGCACTAAATCGTTTAACTGCTCTCTAAAATCTACCAAATTGATTCAAATGTCACCACGAATCTGACCAGAATTAAAGACTGTGGCGCACCCCAGAAAAGGTTTGACCGGCCCCAAAATGAGATGATCCTTTTCTGTTTATTTCAAGTGAAGAGTTTCGTTCATTAATAGTACATCATTCCATTACCTTGAAGAACAGTTCCTCAGAATATCTCAAAAGTATCCCACACAGCTTAGTCCGTCGGAAATCCAACATTCTTGGCCGTGAGTAATTCGTCTCGCACCTCGGATATAACCCTCAGTCCGCCCGCACACCAATCTGGAGCTATATGGCCCCTAAACTATGCCATTAGCTATAATAGCACCTTACCGGACGTTGCTTTCACGATAGCCCCGTGCATTCCCCCAATTGCCATTCATATTACTCCATGAAACATTGCGCTCTCTCTTTCACTTATGCAAATCTTAATTTTCTGCAACCTGGTCGAGAAAAAAAACTGTAGGTGGTTTCAGAGGCGGATTTTGAGAACCGAGTGGAGTCGTATAAAATGCAAGGAATTCGTCTCACGTCCTTTAATGTGGATTGTCGTCTTCCATTCGGGCAATAATCCTCTTGCAGCCTCATCACGACCTCGCTAATAAGTCGGATGTTCATGCGTGTCCGAGTCGGTTTATTACGTCGTTTTGTTGCATGGGCAACGATCCTTACGGGATCTCACTCGCTAGCTTCACGGTCGATCAGCCCGTCTACAAGAGTTTCTTTTTCAAACATTCTTTCTGAAAGAAATAGAATTCGGATGAATGTGATCCACTTTCTCGGCGCGATTATTTCTCTAGGAATTCTCGTCGAATACGCAGTATTGCTAAGCATCTCATTGTTTTCTCAGTGTACTTCTTTCAATGCCTCAAAGAGCATCGTGATGAACCGTTCACAGGCTTTCAATTTCTGAAGCCTACTCTCTAAAAACGTTCTACCTATTATCTCTACAGTCTACATTTCGATATATTACAGCACTTTGCTT